AGAAGCGAAGGCGAGGTGGAGACTGTACTGCTGGCGGGAGGGCATACCTCCCCGCAAGGCCTTCTGGGGGCTGTAGTTTCCTGCCGGCCGCAGTGCATGGTGGGAGTCAGCCTGCTGGTGGCAGGGATGACACCTCCCCATCGCGGGTCTGAGGGGGCATGTGTTGCCATGGAGACCCCGGGGCCTGCGCTGCCTCGCCAGCCTGAGGGCCTGGAGGAGGTCCAGCCTGCCCTGGCCCTGCTTCTTGCTGGGTGGTGGACCTGGCAGGGGAGGAGAGCAACACAGGTCCGCCATCACCCAAACCTCTCAGACCACCACCAGGGACAGGCCCTGCTGAAGCCTTCTGAGAAACACAGCCGGGGATGAAGCTCAGCGTACCAGCCTTGTAGCACAAGGGCTTCTGCTGTAAGGACGAGCCCTCATGGAGGCTGAGGCTGCTTCTCCACCCACCGCTCCTGGTCCAGTTTCCTCCTAGGCGTCGCATGGCCCCATCAAGTGTAGGCCAGGGCTGATACCAGCATGGCCCCATCAAGTGTAGGCCAGGGCTCATACCAGCATGGCCCCATCAGGTGTAGGCCAGGGCTCATACCGGCGTTGGGATTGCAAATACAGATAAGCCTGGCCAATAATCAGAGAAGACCAGCTCCCTCTTTGGAACAAGGTGTTCACAGCCGCCTTCCTAATGCTGCCACCAAACCTAGAATGACCCAGCTGGCACCTCACTTGCTACCAGCTTTGAGTCTCACTACGGTCCACTGTGATCACGCACATCATGCCAGTGGCGCCACAGAGCCACAGACAGCAGTCGTGCTGACACAACATCCCTCCTTCCTGCTACAGCCTTCCAGCACAGCCCCTCTCTCTTGAGGTTGTCCATTCCTCCCCTGGCATTCCCCAGCTATGAGGCTTCTTACCCAATTTCAAAGTTTCCACTGTCTTCTTGCATGGATGACCATGTGTGAGAGGTAAGCAACTCTTATCTCACACCCCCTTGAACCCAGCAAAGTTTAACTCATCAAGAAACCCCTGCCAGATAACTAAGCCAGCTGAGGGAGTGGCTGGCAAACTCTCCAAGTGCTCAGAAATGCATCTAAGGTACTGATTAACTTCACCCATCCTGCGCTTGCCTTTGCACCCACTCTCTTCACATTAAGGGTGCTGCGAGGTTTGGATGGCAAATTTGTCCTGCTGCAGAAGGGAGGGGAGGGAATGGTAGGACATTTCCCTACCAGCTCTATGCTTACCAAAAAAAAAAAAAAAAAAAAAAAAAAAAAATCAACCTTTTTGTGAGCAAATGCTGTTTACAAAACTGGTCATCTTCCCAACGATTGTTTTTAAGCATGTTTCATATAAATCTGGAAATAACAGCATGATTTAGTTACTATTAATCTTTTTTCCCTTATAATAACATAAAGGATTCTGAGAGTATTTTTTTTCACTTTTACCTCAGAGCTTCTCCTCCTACTCTGAAGCTCAAATATTTTGTTTTCTGAAAAGTTATCAAGTGCCTGAAAGACAACTGCTTTCTGCCACTCATTCAGTAGTTTCCCTCCACAAAAGTTACAGGCATTGTAACTTTTGGGAAAAAGAAATATAAAGACTGATAGGAAAACATGAAGAAAACAATATGTAATTAATTTCATTGCATTGGCCATGGTACAGAAGGGAGAGAAATATTGTTTCTGTATCTCAGTTGTGTGCCTGAGGGACAGAGGCTACATGGCTCTAAATATCCTAAGTTCCATTATTTTTCCATGTCATGGTGCTATTTAGGCACCTAATCGTTTTGGCATTGATAACGTCAGAAGCAATGCTGTGAAGCTGTTGGCTCTTGCAAACCCATACCTGTGCTGAAGCTGCTCTTTTAAGTCAGGTCCGATACCTGGGCTCACACC